ATTCTATGCTAGATTTGTTACTATATGCATGCTAACAACATTTTATTTCAAACAGCAGATTCAGTAGCTGAAACTATAGTCAGTAATTCATTGCAAGTAGCCACTATATATAATAATAGTTGTTCTAGCAGCAAATGGCAGTTATATCAAATATTGTATATTCAACATTATATAAGAGATCAACAGTCACATTTACATATAGAAGTGAGAATAAGTGTAAAACTTGTAGTTTGCACTTTGAAATTATTTGGAAGTTCTTGACTGAGTGTATATAAAAACATTGAAGCGCAAAGTTTGTGTGAGTCAAATGGCTCAGTGGTTAAAGTGTGTATATTCCAGCAGGCAGTTTGAAAGTAGTGAGACTGGGGTTCAATTTTCAATAGAGTAATTTTTTTTTGAATATTCAACTTGTATGAAGCTGTTAATATGTTGTATAGCATGAGAAATCTACATAGAATTAAATTTGAGCTTGCTACATTTGTTTTAAAACTATGAACACTAAAATAACAGTTGGTGAATATTTAATAAATAGCTAATGAACAGCTTATAAACAGTTCATAAATAAATTATCACATTAGTTTTAATTTGCTATCAGAAAAGCAAGCATCATAAAAGGCTCAGTTAATTAATGTTGATTAGTACTATATAGCAGTAATTAACTTTTTTTTTTTTTTGAAGGGCTATATGGTGAGCGGCAGCTGAGAGAGCTCAGGTCCTGCACCGCCAGCATGATTGAGAGTGGGAACACCTGGTGTCCACTGCAAGGAGATGCTCTTACGCACGTAGTGTGGGACTCAGTACCTAGCGGCCATATACATGCCTAAGATTTTCCAGTCCGACTGTCCACTCCCACTCGGGGAGGTGGACAATTAGGTGGCCCGCTACCCACTAAAACCCCGCTGTCCATGGTCCATTTATTTGCTTGGTGTGACCGTTCCTGGGTGATCGAGTTCCAGGTCTGGGCAACTGTTTTCTCTTTTGCGGCCTTTTTGCTAAATCTGGCGTTTGTCATGGCTTCATCAAGGTCATAGCGACGCTGGATCATGGAGCTTCAGCGGTTCCGGAGTTCGAGTTCTGTAAATGTTTTAGTATTGTTGTGTTCGATTAGTCACTCACAGCGTAGTTTCCAGATGAGGTATGCAAACTCTGATAGGAGAATGCGGTAGAGGCGGGATGCTCCTGTGTTTATGGTATTGTTGGCAGAGCGTAGAGTTATGATGCCACAGTCTAGGATAAGATTAGTTGTGGGCTCGAACTAGTCTGGGCGGGCTGATTGTCAGAGGTTCTTAGCTAGACCCCAGATGTATGCTTGGCCTGGAGCGGAGCATTGGGTGAGTATGTGTCCAAGGTCCTCGAGTTGGTCGCATATAGGGCAGGTCACTCAGTCAATATAGCAGGGGATATTTGTCCAGAATGATCTGATGCGTAGGGTGTTATGGAGCCCTTTGTAGAGGAAGTCTCGTGGTTTGTGTTCGATGTCATGGTCGCATGGGTGTAGACCTTTCCAGATAGATGCAGTGGTTGGTAGAAGGCCTGTGCGGTCGTCTATGACTAGCTGTATGTCAGAGAGGCATGTAAGGGTGGTGGGGCGGATTGTATGTCCACAAAAGTTGCGGAGGCTGTGATATGAGAGAGACTGGGTGAGGGAGTGTAGTTTAGCTCTCTGTACGTCGAATGTGAGATTGATGCAGAGTAGTGTTTCGTTGGCGTCATCAAGGAGGGCTCCACATGCTGCCTCCATGTTGGCGCTCTCATTGCCTGTGTTGCCGGAGTGTCCTTTGACCCATGCAAAGGTAGTCGGGGTTGAGCGGGCTCGGAGACGATATAGGGCGGAGCGTATTAGATGGGCGTTGGCGACTTCTATCCAGCTGATATCCTCCCAGTGGCTGCAGTGCTGGGTGAAGGCGGTGATCGTGTATTTTGAGTCCGAGACAATGTGTAGTGGTGTGGCTGTGTCTATCGTAGAGCATGCTATTAGCACAGTGAATATCTCACCTGCTTAGTTGGTTTGTATTGGGCCGAGAACTCATATGCCACGGTTGCGGGCATCGTTGGGTGCCAGGTATATTCCGCAACCAGCCCTTGCTGAGGCCATGCCGTTGTGCAGGCATGAGCCGTCGGTGAAGATGGTGATTGCTGTGGCTATGTGGGCTGTTTGTCCTAGAGAGGGGTGGTACGCAGGTTAGATTGGATCTGGATCAGCGGGGCAGAAGGTGCGTACCACTGCTGATAGGTCATCGTTGATGGTCAGGGAGAGGTCAAAGGTGAGGCGGCTTGCTTCTCCGCCAAGGGTAGTGGCCTTATTACGGGCTCGTCTTCAGTCAGTAACAGTGAGGTTATCCGCTGGTGGAAGATGGCTGGGGTGCCATCGTAGGCGCAGGTTTGCAATGAGCTCGTTGGCCAGCATGCAGCATTTGTTGGAAGAGCAGCAGCTGGCCTCATGGTTCAGGCGACATGGGTTGCATCCACAGTTTTTGCGGTGTAGGTGGCATTGTGGAAGCTGTGCATTGAGGCGGACTGTGATGCAAAGTGCATCTGACACTGCGTAGACTCTGTGTATTGACCAGAGGCAGGATGTTTGTGGCAAGGATTGAAGACGTGAGAGTGGCAGTGAGCTACCCAGGTGGTACCAGATAGGGATGCAGCCTTTGGTGTGTTTGTCAAGCTTGGCAGCTGATAGTTTGGTGAATGTGTAGTTTGCCACTTTGATCATGGCTGCTAGATATTCTGGAAGTGAGTGCGCGGTCCTGGGTAGGATGTTGGCCTGTGGGTTGTTTTGTTGTTGCTGGTGTGCGTCGGTTGCTCGGGTACGTTTGCTGACTCCTCAGTGTTGAAGGAAGTGATTGATGTGTGCTTTGGGGGCAATGTGCATGAAGCTTTGGAGGATGTGGCTGCTGTATAGATATGCTGCTATGTATGTTCACATTGGGCGGTGCGGCGAGAAGTCTAGGTAGGATCGAAGCCAGAGTAAGTTGATTGCTTAGTTGCGTAGATGTAGGTTAAGAAGTTTGATATCTCCTTCTTCGATCAGAAGGCATAAGATATTATAGGAGATTGGTGGGACTGTCGAGTTATCCCAAATAAAGTCTCGTATGATTCAAGTGAGAGTTTTTTCAATGTGGGCCGACATGCCCATGACACGTGTGTGATACTGGCTCATGCCACCCACGATCATGTATACAATGAGACATTTTCCATCGAGAGTGGGTTTGCAGCGGCTCCAGCAATGGAGTCCTTCTCTGATTTTATCGATGCGGGGGCCCCAGACTATGAAGGGTGTTATGCAGTTTCCAATGTGGGCACCAAAGAGGCGAACTGCCTTATTGTCAGCGGCTATGTGGGTGTTCGCAGGGATTTTCACTGGCATATAGGAGGGGCGTTTAGGTTGGAGGAAGCGCATTGTGGCTATAGATGTGTGGTAAGAGGGCAAGCCGATGAGAATAACTTCAGTTTTGGTGACATTGAATCGAGCTCCTGAGACGATACACCAAGTGGATAGTATTGTGGAGAGGTCCGAGAAGCTGTCATGTTCTGACAGGTACACGGTCGTGTCATCTGCGAAGAATGTTACGAGGAGGCAGTTAAAAGCCGATGGAATCTAGAAGCCGGACAGGTTGCTCTGGCATAGCATGCATGCGAGAGGTTCAATTGCCAGGTTGAAGAGCAGGCAGGAGAGGGGATCGCCTTGTCTCACACCCTGAATGACTTGAAATGGAGTGCTGCATTCTCCGTTGATGATTATTGAGGTGTATGCATGTGAGTAGAGGGATTTTACCGTGCTAATAAATTGTGGTGGCAGGTTGAATTGTTTCAGGGTGCGCCACAGGTAAGTGTGTTGTATCCAATCATAGGCTTTTTCGTGGTCCAGGGCAAGGATTGCGCCATTGGATTTGGTCACTTCAGCGTAGTCAATCATGGCTTGGGCAAGGCGGACTTGATCAAAAATTTGTCTATTGGACATGAAGCCTGCTTGGTTTTCATGGATTACCTCAAATACTACGGTCAGTAGTTTATTGGCAAGCGATTTAGTGAACATTTTGTAGTCAGAGTTGAAGACTGTGATTGGGCAGTAATTGCTGATAAGCTCGCAGTTGTTCTTTTTGTAGGTTGGACAGAGCCATCCTTCAGCGAAGTCTGTCTTCATATCAACTTCAAAGAGTTCGATGTCGTTGCAGACGAGTTGGAAGGCCTTGATGATGTCAAAGGCAGCATTGTCTCCATTGTTCAGTGCGAGGGCGTATTGGCGTGCAAGGTGTTTTCAGAATTTGTAGGGTATTCCGTCAAGGCCTGGTGCTTTGCCAGAGGCTGTTGAGAGCTGATGCTATGTCTTGGTATGTTAAAAGGTCAGATAGGAGTTCGGATGTGTCATTAGATAGGCGATGGTCGACGGCTTGTGTGGCTGTGCAGGTGGCTAGAGTGAGTGAGGCAAAGCTAGGTTCTTCAGAGTCTGTTTGTACCTTATCATGGTAGTCACGAGCAAGTTCTGCCATGTGGTCAGAGTGGGTTTTCTGGTGTGGGTTGTTCAGGCATTCTAGGGAGTATATTATGTTGCATGGTTTCAGTTTGTGTGCAACTGAAGACCAGTAGCAACTTACAGTTTCACCCATTATTCTGTATTGGGCTGAGAATATTTTGTGGTTGCAGTCGTTTCTTTGGCGTTTGAGGTCGCTAATGCAATTTAGTAGCAGGCTGGTCTCATGTTGGCTGTCAGGGTTTGTTTTGATGTCTGGTTGTGCCAGGATTGTGTTTTGCTGGATGCGTAGGTTTCTGGTTTTGGCCTCCATTTTGGAGATGGCTGTACGGGCTGTTTGCAGATTTTTGATACAACTTTTTTTTTAAAAAAATGCCCAGAGTGTCTGCGAGTTGAGTTCCAGAGTGCGTTGGGTGTGGGCGAGGTCTAACTGGGTAAGGAGGTCTTTGCCCTGTTGTTGTATGTAGGGGGTGATTTCTTCATCATGCATGAGGAAGAGCGGCATTGACTAGCGGCCTGGTTCAATGAAAGGGGCTTGTCAGTTGACTAGCCGGGTGGATACCATGCTGTGGTTGGTTAGGAAGCCTGTTTGTGTGATGGCCCATTGGGATGCGGTTTAAAGCAGGTTGCGTGATGTATAGATGCGGTCAATGCGGGATTGGCTGCCTGTGCTGCCTTGGTAGAAGGAGAAGTCACGGGTGTCTGGGTATGTGGCGCACCAGCTGTCATAGAGGTTCAGGCGAGTTTTGAGAGCATTGAGTTCAGTGACAGCTTTGGCATGGTCTGCGTGTGGTGGGAAGCGATCAAGTTCATCCTCGATCAGGTTAAAGTCATTTAGCATGATGTTTGCTTTCGGGATCAGGGGTTTGTTCAGCTCCCAGATGTCAGAGAGCTGGGTCCAGAAACACTGGTTGTCTGAAGGGTCGTTTGAAGCGTATACGTTTAGTAGGTGTATTGTGCGGTCGCTCTGCCAGGGAATGCTAAGGAGCAGGGCGCGGCCTGGTATTAGAATATGGATTTGAGCGCCAGTTGTGCTTAAGAGTCCTATGTTGACTGCAAAAGCTACTCTGCATGCGTTTTGTGTTAGTGGGTTGGGGGAGTGAAAGACAGTGAATCAGTGACTGTACTGTTCAGAGATACGGACCAGGAGTTCGTCTGTTAGATGTGTCTCTTGGAGTGCTAGAATGGCTATCTTGTGTGTTCTTATGATGCAGTTGACGTCTGCCTATTTGGATGCAGCGTGTGCACTTGTGCTGGTGCCTCGGCCTTTTATATTGAGGGAGGCAACATGTAGATTGCCCCTGGTTTTGCGGTGTCGCGGGCGTGGCATAAGTGGCATGTGAGATGGGGTTATAGGCAAGGTAGCCATTGTTGTGGATGGTACAGGGGGAGTGTGCAGGTGGTGCAGCACTGGTGGTGGTGCCAGTTTGTTGTGGCCATCTGACGGCTCGTTTAACAGAGCCAGGGACAGCTGACTGGCAGCACTTTGGGTGTTGGCAGCCGGTGAGGGCAGGGGCCCTTCGACTGGCCTGTCGCCTATCTCAGCATACTCAGGGAGCAAGTCGACAGGCAGGCCCACTCCCTTAATGGGCACGCTGAGGAGTAGCCTTATTTGAGCCTCACAGGGAGCTCGAACTGGGGACATTGCATTTTTTACCTCAGTATAATCAGTTTTGCTTGGGGGATGGGCAATCTGCGCGTACTGCACCTCAGAGTGCACAGGCACTGTAGAGACACAGCTGTTGCAGTTAGCAGTTTTGACACTGCACAACTAGCCCACTTAAAAAGGCAGCTGGACGCCGAAGCATCAAGTATTGGGTGCAAAAATAGAGGAGGGGGCCTCTCTGGCTTTCCTGTCCTGCGAACGGTCAGTAAATGTGGGCCAGAGAGGGCGGACAGCAGCATGAGGGCCTGGTACAGCTGCCGACCTTGGGGAACTGGGCTACTGCCTTTATGTTAGGGGACCCAGACACTTCCGAAAGTGTTCAGACCAGCATAAGGAACCAGTCATCAGCTTGGGTTGGGTGGCCAACTGGGTGCTCCTGGGAGCTAGCTGGGTGATCACATTTGGGACAAGGTGAGCGGGGATGTGTAGTATATTCAGGCATCTAGGTAGAGTATGTACATGGTGCTATTGTCAACTGTAGTACGGGCTTCAGCAGTAACTTGCACTCCGGCTCTGTCTGCGACCGTGGCTACGGCTATGGTTGCGGTCTCCGCGTATTTGAGGTACCTGCTGAGGGTTGTCGGTGTCATTCGTGTGCAGCAGGTGTGCCGGAATAAGCTAGTCTTCTTTGAGATTGATTGTGGTTGGTGGCGGGCTCTGCCAGCCATCAAGCAGAGGATATTGGCACAGGCCGAGTAGGTGATCAGCTCCGAGGCATCCTGGGCACGGGTTTGCATTCGGGCAGATGTGGCCAGTGCCGAAGAAGTTGTGAGCAAACACGTGCTACGTGACTGTGTTGTGGAACTGGCGCCATCGGCGCGAGTCTAGCGTTAGTGGATCAATATACAGGTTTGCGAGTGGCCAGGAGGTTTAACCACCGAGATCAGTCATTTTGATCACAGTTACTTGGATGGACATGAGCAGGTGTGTCATAGCCTGTTCGCGCATTTTATCTGCGAACTAGGGATGCGACGTGAGAAGGTAGGCAAGGAGCTGTGCCAAGGTGCCACGGGAGAAGTCTGATATAAAGACACCACAGATGGCTCCCGTCTCGTAGTTGTTGAAGCCACGGAACTGTCCGATGTGTGTTGGAAGTGGTAGAGGTGTCGTGGGCCAGCAAAAGAACGTACAGAGGGACGTGGACCAGCAGAACCTCTCGATGAGGCTATCGTGCTCTTTCAGTGATAGGTCATAGATCTCGTAGAGGAAGAGGCCGTCGGAGTGGCGGTGGCCTTTGGATCTCAGGGCCGCTACTCGTGCGTGTGTGAAGCCGAGTTCATGGAGGGTCTTCTCAAAAATGAAGACTATCTGGTCTTGGTCTGTCCAAAGGGTGGCGTGAAAGTGGACGGCAAACACGACATGGCCAGTGAGGACTTCCCAGTTGATGAATTGTGACATTAACTGGCAGTGGTGTAACACAGAAGTATACTGGTGGGAGGCCGAATGTGGGGATGGGCATGAGGTTGGTGGGAGCATTGAGAACTATCTCGTCGTCGTCGTCTTGGTACATCTCGTTGAAGGATGCTGCGCTGTGTGGGTGATCTTTGTTCTTACTGCCTGCGCTGCCCATCTCTTTGTTCTCTGGATGTTGGAGGTGTGGCTGGCTGGGTTGTGCTACAGGTCGTGCGGCAGAGCGTGCAGTGCATCACGCCGGAGTGTTTGCGTGTATGGAGCGGTTAGTGCATACGGTGCAGGGTGTCTGGGGTCCTGCTTTGTTGTCGTTGTCGATTGGGACTGGGGGTAGTTGAGAC